GGCTGGCAGCCCTGAAGCCATCCTCCTCAGGGTCTTTTTAAGCCACTGGACTGGAATGGAGGGAGAACACCCACCTAAACCTTCCCAGCTCTGTAATTCTCCTTTTGGTATGTTCTGCCTCATCTTTTCCTCTGCACCCAAACTGAACTTAATCCAGTGTTCTCTCACTATTGCTGCAAGAGGTACGGGGCTGTGTAAGCTATCAGACCAATGAAAAAGGTGACTTATGACCCCACTTCTCCAAGTTATCTGTCCACAAATCTATGGATGTAAGTAAGTTTATGCATTCAAGCAGTCCCACTCAATTAAATGGACTTATTTAGGTGCAGCTCCTTGACAAGTTGGGATCTGAGCAGCATTCGGTCAATATTGTGCAAGACTTCACTTTGAAGGGTCAAGGCCTTGCTCTTACAGATCAGTCTTGGAAAATAGAAATCAGAAGTGATTCAGTCCAAGTCATGCACCTACTTTTTCTCCTCCACTTTTTCCCCCAAGACAGTGAAAACAGCCTATCTCCAGCTCCCTTTCCCTCGGGAGCAAATCACAGATGCTTATAACCAAGGCAGAAATAGATTCCCGAGGCAAACAGAGAATTGTGTCAAGTCCCCAGCTTTCTCTGCTCCCCAGATCCCTGCTGGGGTGCTCATAGCCAGGCGGCTTGTGGCAACTGATGTGTAGTCCCGTGGGTACCTTCGCCATGCTCAGCCCCATGCTGCGCTCTGGAGTGGGCAGTGCAGAGAGCGATGCAGTCAGTGGTAGGCTCTGCCTTGCCACCTTCCTCAGCTAGCCCAGCACTGCGACTCCAATCTTAGCCTCAGAGTTATACACAAAATAAACAATGAAATGCAAGAAATTAAGTACAATGTGCAGTAGTCCGCAGGACAGACAGGTGTGAAGACTATCAGACAGGAGTTAGATCCTCCTACAGGCACTACCCTCAATGCTGCTGGTTGCAAACTGCAACCTCCTCCAGTTCTATCATAATTTAAGGAAGAGCTATATGTAGATGGAGGATGACACAATCTGTAGGTGTCTCTGAATTACTTGCTGTACGTAGAAGCAGTGGCAAACAGGCCAGCTAGGACTGCATGCACAGTGACAGACTGAAAAGCTCCCCTGTGAGGATGAGGGAAGGGAGCTGGGAGAGTCTTGGGTACCAAGTAGAAGCACATGGAAAGCCCAGTGGAAATATGAGGCAGCGTATCTTACATCTGAAAGGTTACAGCATCACCCAGCTCCTCCGGGCCTGAGGACAGCATCCCTGTTGTAACCTTTTGGTCAGTATAGACCGCAAGAACTGCAAGAAAGATGCCGCTGTGTCTGACACGGGCACAAAGCTCTACAGTGACCCAAACAGAGCTTACTTTCTCATTTCTGCATTCACTCTAGCTTCCCATTGACTTGTGTGTTTGACAGCCATGCATTGTTCCTTATCCATCACGCAGAGCCTCTTTCCCACTAGTGCTCCAAAGGAACACAGCGATATGACAAAAGCATGTTGAAGGAAAATACTCGCTAACAGTAGCAATAATCTTTAAAAATATAAGCAATACCCCGGTGTTCATATCAAAATTAATTTTATGCTTATGACGTATAGATTTTTAAAGGCTTTCAGATGAAGAGCTGAAACTCAAAGTACACACATTTCTTTGCTCTGAAGTCCCCTTCACACGAGTGCACAGGGGAAGTACCTGTGAAGACATGTATTGCAGCATCCAGCTGCTCCGTCCGCAAAGGCAGAAATAGGTTTTCCACTTATTTGGCCCTTCACATTTCTTAACGAGTTGTATTTATGTAGCATGTAACTTCATGAATGTTTCAGGGATTTTTAAGTATTTAAATACTCAGACTGTATTGGTAACAGATGTTCAATGATATATTTAATTTTTAGTTTTACTGAAAATATCGTGTATCGGTTGATATTTTCTGTAAAATATAACTTTGAAAGAATGCCTAAGTATACTGTACTTCCAGGAAATGTATCTGAGCCTTTCAGCTACTGCATTAAAGTGGGCACTTCTGAAATTAGTGAGCAAATGTTCTGAGAGTCTAATAGGATTTCTTGTTTGCCAAAAAAATAGTCCTTTTAGGAGCACAATCTTTTGTGTAATCTCTCTCTCACAAGACAGATGGCATCATTAATTGCCTCTACATCTAGTTAAATTTAAAAACCTGTGCTTAAATAACGTTAAAGTTGTGGTACATGCTGACAAACATAGGAAATAGTAAGGTAGAATCAATTGGAAACAAGGGAAGAAAACCAAGACAGAACAGACAGGATTAACAAGAGACCACAAGAAACACTGACTGATTTAATATGTCCTTGTTCATGCCAGGAAATGTCACAACCTTAATAATCTAGGAAGCATTTCTGCATTTTGGTGAACTCCTAGCTTGAGTGAAGCAATTGGCAAAACTCCCATTGACTTCAGTGGGTGAGAATGTCATCCCTTAATCTTTTTAAAGCAACTTTACATGGAAGTTGTCCAATATGGCTTATCCGCAGTTCTAATTACCACGCCTGTGTAAATACATTTTGGGAGTCAAATGTAACTGTGATCTGTATTTCAAAGCTAACATTATTCCAATTCTCTGGTTTACCACAGTCACCCCACAGTGGTGTCGGTTACCAAAAGCCTGATTTTAAGCCTTCTCCGAGCTTAAAATGGAATATAATTATCACAGCACTGCCAAAGAGCCAGCTTTTGCCAATAGATACCATATGCTAACTCTTTGGTTTTAAATACAAGCCCTGTGTTTAAAGCCTTTCCTCACACCATACAAGCTGTGATTTTCAGACGCCTAGGAGAAACAGACACCCAAATGGATTTGGGTGCACACAGCCACACCAGCTTCTGAAAGTCCACCCATACGACACAGCCTATCCCATTAAATACAGATATGTTCCCTTTTACTGTTAAACACCTCTTAAACAGTGAGGGTGCTAATTGAAGATTGTAGAAGAAAACAACGTCAAAAGAGCGAAAAAACAAGGAGATGCATTGGAAATATAAGAAATAATTGAGACTTGATGCTGAGATCTTGAATTAGCATCTGTATCCATATGCTAATTTTGAATTTGTATAGTTGTACCCAGTAAGCTCAAAAATATTATTCATCACTCACAGTAAGGATTTTATGTTCTTTAAAAATTACCTCATTTTCTTTAGTCTTCAAACACAAGGCCACTACCAGAGCACTGAATGCTCAGTCTCTTCACCGAGATTTTACTTCATTTGTTTTATTTTAGTCTGGCATTATGCTTTAGATTTTTACACACCTGGCTATTATAATGTTCAATCCTATTGGCCAATATCAACCAGATTTGCAAGAAGGTAAAATCAAATATATTCAACTCCTATGAGATTCCTAAAATAAGTAAGTGGACAGAGGAAAGAGACCTTACTAGTGACCTCACAATGGGAAAAGCTGCAGGGTGATTTCAGCTGGAAAACATGGGGGAACTTAACTTCAAGGCACAAATCTATGGAAACCTGGCTTCACTGTTTTTAAGCTCATGGAAGTGTTTTTATTTTTAAGCAGAATACAGTATTCAATAATGCCCTTTATTGGGTTTTCACAGTGTCTGACTGGTGAAAGAATTTAATAGATTATGTTGTGACAAAGAAATCTGACTTTATGAATAAAACAAATGCCAGATTACTCTAGCATAGAAACACACGAGATTAGTATTTTGTTACAAACGATGATCAAGGCTGATCATCAACATTCATGCCAGGGATTAAACTGCTTCTTAAATCCATTCTCTTACCTATTTGTTCCTTGGCACTGAAAGCAGTGTGTGTTGGGACAGTATCTTCCATCACCATATAAGATCTGAAAGTTCAGTTATGCTTTATAAGGGACAGTGGCCACCCCTCCTCTGCTTCCCTGCCATCCGTCGTAGGCAACAGCAGATTCTGGAGTCAATACCCTTCTGCTGTCTTGATTTATTATATTACTTTTTATGTTGTCAAAAGTTCTGATACAGCTGACTGAGATTTTGCTGATAGGCTTGTAAACTCTGGTAGGGAGGACTAGGGTCACTTGGGTGGTTCAGATTCTACCTTTTAAAAAGACCCCATTACTCATCTACACAGAAGACTCTCCTGGGCAGGATTCCATGAGAAAACATTTATTTAGTCCCTTCCATTCTGCTCAGTTATGCCTGATGTAAGTCATACAGTGCTCCAGCACTCCAAAACTGCACTGGCTTCCTAGCAGTGTTTTCCTTTCTAGGTAATTCAAGGTGTTAACCTGTTTTCCTTTTCACTCACAGTGAACTGATATCCCACAGTCAGCTGTTCTGTACCAGCTGAGACAGTAACTCCTGACCCAGGGCTGTAACTTCTTGAGACATGACAACTGGACTGCTTTCCTTTACCTCTCTCTACTTAAATTAGCCATTACGATGTAAACCAAATTGTTCATCACTACCATCCTATTTGCTATAAGAAATTGTCAATATCCCCTTTTCCTTAGATTCATCCTCAGACCTCAGATCTGCATTCTTACAAACACTGGTTTACTCAAAAGAGTGCAATAATCCCTGTAATTATTTTTACAGAGCAAAATACAAGAGATTCGGAACATTTTGAAACTAAAATAATCTAAAAATCTTAGCCATAAGACCATCATCTGTAATTACCAGCTTAATGCAGAATGCACTTATGTTAGGGGGAAAAAAGTCATTAGGAGAAATTAAAATATTATTTTCTTATCACTCAGCTTTGAAAGCAGACCTACAGGCTTTGTTGGTTTGGTACTCTTCAGGCTGATGAAAAAGGTTCCTCAGGTCCACCTGGCAGATCAGGTCTAAATTTTATGCTATTGTTAGAATAACCATGTGCTTTACCTCCCTTCAAATGCCTCATGGCTTAGAAACGAAGTTTCTTCAAAAGGGCAAAGCTTTGTCCTGATATCTGTTGGAATCAAGTAGGAAAGCAGACATTTCTTAATCTCAGGGGGACAGCGTGAAGTAACGTATCTGCCCCACTCACCTGCTGCTCCATCGTTTGTGGGTGGATGAAAGTCACAAAATCAACTGAGAAGTAACCAAGCACTCCTTTAGATTTACAGGTTTCTCCAATTTTTAAGCAGAGTGAATTAAGAACTGCTGGATCAACAGAACATTGTGGAATGGTAGTGCCAGATGATCGCAAAGGACCGTCAGCATGGAGCTGGTCTCCAGATGACACTATTTTTATCTTGCCTGTTGGCTCTATCAGCATATCCACCGTAAGGTTTGTGACATTCTCTGAGAGCGGGAAAGCTTCTATCACACCACCTAGTAAGAAATGAATTAGCTGTTAAGCTAGTAATCAAATTCACATGCGATGCTTTTCAGAGTGCACAGAATGAAACCATCCAGCTCCTATTGTGCTCAGACATTGCAGGGAGGACTGCTATGGAGATACAGCAAGTAAATAAATGTAATGTGAGCAGCATAGCTAGAACCCATGAATCTCTTAGAAGAGAAAGAAGTTATCTCGTCTACTATAGCACCATACAGTTCAACCAGTGGCTTTTGAGCCGCAGATGCTTTGCAAGCAGTTCCAAACTGGATATATCACATATCTGACAGGAGAAGTATGCTCTTGGGTTGTATGAATGAATCCTGGGCTGTGCTACAGCCCAGCTAAATGCCAGGCCCAGAATGGCAGTGAAATGCAATGTCGGGACCTCAGGGGAGTGGCATCTCCTGCTGTAAACTAAGCTTGGAGATTCCCATCCATATGATGGTCTGAGATAAGGAGTCTGCCTTTTGGTTTTCATCCACATGAGGAACTTGGTGTGTGGATGGGAAGGCTTGTAGATGACAACTTCTAGCAAGGTTGTCGGTAGGAAAATCACAAGGAAAACTGGTTGGCATTCTGGATTTGCCTTTTTACTGCATATAATGCCATAACCCATTTAGTTAGGATAAACTAATATGTAATAAAAATTGGTACTATATATGTTAACTGGCATTATTTTTCAAAAAAATACTTTCAAAGCTTTGAATCATCCTTGTCTCTTCCACAGATAAAGAGATGTATGAAACGTATATATCCATTATATATAATACAAAATAATGGTAGGGCAGAATCACCACAGAAATTTACTACCCAACCACAAACACAGCATCTTTTCCGTCCAAAATTTGGCATACAAATATAGAATGGTAACATGCCTGTGCAAAGCCCACTCACAGATACGCTGATTTGCAGTGATGAGACAAGGGTTTTATCTGCACTGCCTCTTACGGACAAACATGGGCTCACTTCTGAGCTCTACGCCAGTTGGGTACTGGCCAGCTTTGATCCAAAGGTGCCATGAGTGGGTTTAATGCAAGAAGCCCTGCCAAGGACTTGACACCACGCAAACAAAACTATCCAGCTATCAGATTAGAACTTGTTCATATTCCTTTGGTTGGAGGGCAAGAAAGAGCACAGCAATGGTCTAACGAGGAGTCTGTGCCAACGTACCGTAAGGGACAATACGGCATTGCATTACTGATCCTCAGTGGCAACACCACCTGCCTGGAAGGCAAAAAACTGGGAGAAAGCTCAGCTCCTTTCCAAGCCAGTTAAAGGTTATGAGCGCATTGACTTTATGCAATGTATGCATGTAGCATCCAGAGTTTACATATAGCTCCCTTCCTGGTCCTATGGGAAGGAAAAGCAAGTCTTGCAGATGTTTGCTCACCAACACCTAACAAAGATGAAATATTCTCACATTTACCTACATGCAAACTCACATGCTAGCATTCCCTAAAGCCCTTTCGCCAAATGTGACAACCTCCAGTACAGTAACCCAGGATTAAGGAGTTGGTGCTTATTAAGAATCATGTGAGAAAGGTACTCAAGGATTAATATAGGTTAAATGCTTGGACAGGACATATGAATGATAGAATAGTTGCCTATAATTCATTCGTAAATGAACATTTGAAGCATAATGGAGAAATAAAAAGATAAATATTTAAATGGGCCCAAGATTAACAAGAATATGGCATACAATATGGTATAATTACTCCTTATAACACTTAACAGCGACTTTGCAGTCTTATTTACCTTGACTAAGAAATGTTTGGAGGAATTTTTCCCATGTAGGGAATCGTTTCTCATTGACTGGCTGTGTACGTGGTGCTAAAAGGCCCGTCAGCTCCTGGGAGATCTTCACCAAAGCTGGCTCCTGCAGAAACAAATTAAATAGAACCACAAGCAATTTTACTACAGAAATGAAAACTGCTTGTGGGGTGATTAAAAACCAGGCCTCCAACAGGCAAAAAAAAAAAAAAAAAAAAAATTGGGTAACTTTACTGTTTACCCACAGTCAGGAAGCCTTTTTTAATTTTTCTACTTACTACTCTTCCCTCCTATTGAAAACTGTCCTTCTCTGAAAGACGATCCCCACCTTCAGTATAGCATCTATTTCATTATAATTTATATCAATAATGTGATCTGGCAACTGAAAATGCTAAGCACTTGGTAACCGCTTAGGGATCAATACCAGCAGTCACTAACTTCTACATTGTTTATATTTTGAAACTGAGCATATTGAAATAGTCACATATGCCAGAAATAGTTTTACTGATTATATGTTTAAGCTGTTATATCAACCCAAACACCCTTTAGTTATTTAAAAAAGAAAAAAAAAAAAAAGAAAAAGAGGAATAATCAACCAAAAGCATTTCTAAAGCCGGAGACATCCTTTTACACTCTCCGATCCGTAACATAAATTCACGGAAAGAACAGATTATTTTTGCAGATAAAGCAGCTTTACTTTGGACATGAGAAAAAACTCACAAAAAAACCCTTTGCATGTATACTTAAAAATATGCCTCAGCCCGCTACGGTAGAAGAAACTTATCCAGTACTGTATTGTTACTTAATACTTCATGTCTTTCATGTGGTTTTTGACACTGAAGAAAAAGTGTTAGAAAAACCTTATTCTCTCACATTATTACTAACTTTTTAATATATGTAACTCAACACATTATATGCAAATGAATTTATAATTGCAAAGGTAAAAGCTGTCCTGTATTTCTGCCCAAAGACCATTCTTTTATAAAAAAAAAAAAAAGAAAAAGAGGAATAATCAACCAAAAGCATTTCTAAAGCCGGAGACATCCTTTTACACTCTCCAATCCGTAACATAAATTCACTAGTGTATTTGCGCCTCTGTCTTTGGTAGAATTCGATTAGTCATACTATAGGAGATAAACTAGCTTTTTCCTAGTTTCAAATTCTTTACTATATTATCACACACACAAAACAACCCCATTAAATACAGAAACTAACTGCATTGCTTTTACTGTTCAAAAATGTCCCAAAAGTACACAAGCATATAAAGTGCAAGGACCCTGACTCTATTGCTTCAGGCTCCTTTTCTTGCTGCTTCATAAGCATTTGCCTGCTTCCCCTGGGTCTCTCTGCTTCTGTTTTACATCCTCTCTCTCCAGCATCCCGTGCTTCAGAAGATGACCAACCGTCCTCTGATCTTGGCAATGTCCTAAGCTTCAATCATATTGAGCTCTGGAGGAACATGATGAAACCTTATGGTAACATTTAAATAGGGAAAAAAAAATAAAAATCTATTTTTCCAGACCAGTGAGTTTGAAGAGATGGGCTTTGTCATGAAGCGCATGATGTGACGTAACCAAAGATATGAATTAAAAATCAGCTTACTGTGATTTATCTACCAGAATGAGGAGAAGGAGGATGGGCCAATGACTAGGGTATCAACTTTGCATATAGGAGAGCTAGATATATCTTGTTCCTGAATGCAGTCTGCCTGTGAGACTTCAGGAAAGTGACTTTCTGTCTGTGCCTCAGCTGTCCAGCCATGAAAGGGGGCCAATTGCTGTCCCTACCTCACATGGAATTGAGAAAAAAATGCCTTTAAAAATATTGAGGTGCTTAGATAATGATGCTGATCTGGCCTATGTGGGCTCCTATAATATACTACGGAGAAAAGTATGTTGTTGACTTTAAACATCTCAGAAAAAACATTAAAAATGGTTTTAGTCAGTATATCAATATACTAAGCAGCACGACCTTAACCTTATGGCAAAAAACAAAGGACCATGTAAAACGTGAGATCCAAGTTCACAATTTACCCAGATTCAGGTCTTACACCGCTCATTTCCTCACAATTTGTAAGAAGAAATTTAGATTTTTTGATAGCTCAGCTGACTAAAACAACAGCGCAGTGAGCAAATATCAGTTGGCCTTGTCTTGGTTTGTATTTGTGTTGAAATATTGCTAAGCCAAGAAGTCACAAGATCAGGTGGTTCGTTGCACAGTGAAAATAAACGCAGCTTTGGAGAGAGGATCTGAGCCATGATGGATGTCATGGAGTTGCTGACCTACAAATCAGTTTGCACCTGTCAGTGCATTCCATGATACCTCCATCACAGAGTCTCATCCCTGAGATCTAACGACTTTGGCTATTGTGCAATTTAAACAGAAATAAAAAAACAAACAAACAAAAGAAGAGGTATGCAATGGCTGCCTGAAAGCTTTTGATAAATTATAGGGGGAAAAAACCAATAATCCCTGCTGGATGTGTAGAAGCATTTGAAAGTGCTGTGACCAAGCTTGTATAAGTAAAAATTAAACTATGGGCATGTGAACTGGGACACAATTTTCCATTGCAACAATTCCGAGAGGCATGAGGGCAGCTGCGCCAGGTCCATGGAACAGTGCTGGGGATAGTTGTATCTCCTTTTAGACAGAGTTGTTTTCAAGGATCACACATGGCTGTGAAAGAAACCTCCCTAAACTGGCTGCAAAGTCAAGCAGAACTTCCAAACTTTGAAGTGTACCGAAGGGCACACTTACCTGGCTCACAAATGGAGGCTGCTGGTAAGACACGGAGTCTCCAATTCACCTCATATATATATATATATGTATATAACATCATATGCTACTACTCTCTGTGCGTATGATGGACATTAGACAGGCAAGACTGTTATGATACTTCCTCGACAGACCCAGTGTTGCTTACTTAAATAAGGTCAAATAGCATTTGAAGGGGACATGAACACAGGATGAACTCAGAACATCCATTAGGGCAATGCAGGTGCACAGCACCCGGCTCAGAGGCGTCTTGCAGTTCAAAGCACCCTCAGTACTTGCTGACTGTGAAGGATGCGTGCATCAAAACCAGTCGCCTTACAGAAAGACGACAGGGGCTTTTAAAGAAATAACTAATTCAAGAAAATCTGAAAAATCTTCTTGTGAGATCAAACCCAATGTAACAGTGCTTTTAACAAGTAATGCCTAGATAATCAAGGTGTGCACAGAAGGGAGTCAGGCAACTGCTTTTTAAGGATCAGCACCTGGAATTCTAGTTGAAGTTTTTTTGCAACTGTAAGCTCTAAAAAGGCAATAATCCTGATTCTAGGGAGTTTTAGTAGGCAAATTCAAGCCCGGATCCAACATTCAGTCATGAAGTCAAACCTTTTAAAAGGATCAGTGCTCGGTAGGCTAATTTCATTTAAATTGGACGGTATCTCCAGCAGAGCTTACCAATGTTTTACCTCTTGATGTGGCCCAAAACAGTTCAGAATCATAGGCTCAATGGAAACAGGGAGCATTTGTTCAAATCTTTCAGCTGATGTTTCTTAGTACCAGTAAAAAAGGAGCAGCCTAAATACTGTTTACGTCATGTAGAAATCTTTAAATCTATCCAAATCTGGTTTGCACCTTTTTATGACAATGAATAAGCATAAAAAAAAAATACACCTTTTCTCCCCTAAATATAAAATAATTTCTCACCCTTCTGCTAGCTGAATCTTGAAAAGCTTTCTTAGAATGGCAGTTGCAACAAAAAATTAGGACCAAATGTGGCATATGTTGAAGGCACTGGTAGGAAATCTACTCGAGACAGATCAGTCAGCAAAGAAAAGCCTGTTGAGAAGAGAAGTAAATAAATAGAAAGAAGAAATAGACATAGAAATAGGAAGAAAGACCTGGGGAGAGAAAGAGGCTGCAGAGCAGAATGCATGAGAAAGACCTAGGGCTTTTTAGCTAAAAATCAGATTGAAAGGAAATTATTCCGACCTTGCAAGCAAATAGAGTGAAGAAAGTTAACTCCAAATAAGTAAAGCTGACTGGGCCAGAGAAGAATAAAATCAGCAGACAGATCCTCAGCAATACAAACTGCCACATCTGTGCTGAAGTCAATGAAGCTATGGCAATTTATGCCACTTCAATGGCACTATGACAATTCATACCATTTATGCAGTATATCCTTTATATGGCGATCAGTAGAGCTCTGATAACTTATTCCAGCTGCCTTGACGTGAATTGGTCCAGCCTGGCTTAGTCTTATGTTCTCAGCGGCACCAGCAAACGTGGCAATATTGGAAGAGTCCAGTGACTGCTGTCTGACCGTCCAAATAACTTTCATTATTTCCTATTTTGCAAACTGAACTGATTTGACATTTTTCTTAATTCAGACATGTACATGCTGGCCAGAACCACAATCTACCACACTGAACAAAACAATTTGAGAGGTTTATAAAAATTGAAACGTTTTTGGAAGTGATACACTGAATACCCTATCTACTTAAAGCTTGCAACCTGATTTAAAGCCCAGGCATTTAATTGTTAACTGCAAATTTCAAAATTAAAAAGTGCCAATTTTGCCTTCCACGAGCTGGAAAAGTAGTTCTGATAGAAGGTAACATCATGTAAACCAGCCATCATTACCAAGAAACACAAATGTTTTTCGTATGTAAAATTGCTTTGTAAAATATTTGCTCCATCTGCTGAAAGTAGCAAAGACAATTTTCCCTGATAGCTAATGGCCCATTTCAGCTGTATGGCAAGCGATTCACCGTGGCTGCGACTTGCATTAAGTAGAATGGCGAAAACAGTGCACAGAATTCTCCACTTATGTAGTATTATCTACTCACTGCTTCCTGAGAGCCCGTCCCTCATTATCACGGCCTTCGCTTTGGATCAGCACACAGGACTAGGGTTGCTTTGACTCAAGAGGCTTTTTGTCAAACTGAGGCACATATGCTATGCTTCAATACAAAAGCACAAAACAGCCACTTTCCTTGACTACAAGAACAAGGAGGTTAGTTCTCTTTCAACTTTGCAGCACTTAAACTGCTGTTCCTTTTTTCACACCACATGGGGCCATGGTTTTCTCTTCTGGCTCATGCTGTCACTCTGCAC